ATAAGAAAAAAAGTTGGTTTAATTTTGTAAATTATTATTTTCAGCACTTATACAAAGAATCTCTTTAATTCACAAATTATTATTTTCAATATATAAATGCCTACATGCACATATACATATATGCAAACTACACACAGTTGGACTCATGTCGGTATAATTTGTGTACGTATAGGTGACAAAGCACGAGGATGCACCGGAGAGTGAGTGGAGACATTGGAACTGGAAGTCGGAAGGCGACATGTTTCTGAACGGTGCATACTTCAGGCAATCCGGCGGAGGAGCTTCGTCAAGCTACGCTAGAGCCTCCAGCCTCAGTGCCCGACCGTCGTCGCTTGTGGGCGCCATGACCACCACAGCCGGCGCACTCAACTGTAGGAAAGGCTCCCGTTGCTGATAATTATAATTAGAATAATAATAATAATTCACACCCATGAATTATTATTATTTGCAGAAACAAAGAATCAGTAAAAGCTAGCAGCAGGAACTTATAATTTCAGTAGTGAGAAAAAGAAGAAGAAGAAGAAGAAATGTCCGGGAAGCTTATAAATATATATATATATGTATAAGCATATTGCCGGGATTTCTGGTTTTTCCATAATTAATTTTGTGTTATTTGAAGAAATTATGATATTTATATGTTATATATTAGTGTTAAATATTCTAAATTAATGAACATTGACAACCTCTGCTCTGGTTCATACCGCGAAAAGGGCAGCAGTGTTGGACTTTTAAGTTATCAACTCTAAGTTTTTATTCTCTACATTCAGTGTGTCTATATATGTATAATATCATATATATATATATATATATATATTTCTGCTTAATTATGAAAGTTTTACATTCGAATTAATAATCAGAAATATTATTATTTAATGTATATTAGCCGCATTCTTTCACTTTCAATTCACACATTGATAAAGAAATGTACTTCCTTCCATTTTATTCAGACTTCACATATATATATATGTATATATATTTTTTCATTATGTATATTTATGTTACTTCCCATCAATGGGAATATTTTGGGATGTTCGCTTTGACCATCCTCAACCACCGAAATTATCTGCTTAATTTAATTAATTTTTTCTAAAACTGTTACAGCCATGAATAAACAATTTTTTCTTTAAAATATTTTGAATATTAAAAATAAAAAAATCCAGGGTGATTTTTGCATGTATATATGTATGTATATACAATGATATTTCGCATAAAAGAGAAAAGGGTACAAAAACACCATAATTTTCTGCGTCAATCATGCAGAAACACCATGACAAATTGATAGCTTGTTGGGTACAAAACCACAAGTAGAACTGTGCCTATCATATCATATCATATCATATCATATGTCAATTAAAAAATATGATTATTTATATGCTAATTATATATATATATATATTATTAATAACACAATTTTATAATTAAATTTTGTTTACAATTGTAAATTCTAATATTTTTTTAAGAATAATTAAAAAATTAATTATAACCTGCCACTAAATTAAAAAAGATCATTCACATGTATTGTCTTTTATATGTATTTATGTATATTTTTTATTTAAAAATTATTTTTTGATTACAATGTACAATTTCTATTTAAAAATTAAATTAAATGAAACTGTAAATTCTTTTTTTTTTTTGAAAAATCATATTTAATATTTATTCAAGAGAAAAGAATTAAAGAATTGAAGAATTTTAAATTTCAATGCACCATCTAGCTTTCTGCGACGTCGTTTAAACTAAAAAGTGACAACAATGTAGTAACGCCCGATAATACCGATTGGTTTGCCAACTCCATCGGCATGATACAAAATCTAAAGAAACGAATCAAATTATTCCTTGCATGCATGCTCTGGTTACGTACGTACGTTCTTCAGTACGGATTTGTTGGCGAGGCTTAAAACAGCAAAGCAAACAAACTGGATGCCGTCGCGGCGAGAACAGCGCCGGAGGAGGATATGATGACGGTGGACTCCGATGGATTATCGGCCGTCGTCGATGGCGCCGGTGCAGGAACAGCGTCACTCAGGAAACCATCGGTACTGGCGAAAGGCGCCTCGCCGTCGGCAGGCGGCGATGGGGGAGATCCAAAGATGCTGCTGTCGTCTTCTGGGCTCAGACTTGGGGAGGAATCTCCGCCGGACTTGTCATCGCTGCTGGATTTGGGTGCCTGCGATGGCGAAGTTTTACTGCTACTGTCGCTGCCCTCATTGGAAGAAGGTGCAGGAGATGATGGGGTAGTACCCTTTGACGGCGGGGGAGACGTAGCAGCGTCGCCGGTGTCGGAGGATTTTGGTGCAGGGGATGAGTCCTTAGTGGTTGACGGAGATGGAGCGGTTGACGCATTGGAAGGTGGAGTTGGCGACGGTGGCGGAGTGGTAGAGTTTCCAGAGGAAGAAGAAGAACCAGAAGAAGTGTTTGTGGAGGAGGAAGATGGCGGTGGGGTGGTGGTTGTGGAGGAGGAAGGTGGTGATGGGGACGATGACGGTGAAGAAGAAGAAGACGAACCAGAAGAAGAATTGTTGGACCCGCCATCTCCATTTCCAGAAGCTGTAGAGTTAGTCTTGGATTGGCTGGAGGTTGGTGGTGTGGCCGAGTTTGAATTGGTGGGTGGAGAAGCTGAGTCGTTTGCCGAGTCAGTGGTAGCAGAGAGGGTTAGAAAGAGGAAGAGAGCGAGGAAAAGGAAGCGAGATGGTAGTGTTGGCGCCATTGTTAGGTTGGAAAATTGGAGAAAGGTTTCGTGAAATTATGGAGAGAAAGTGTGGAAACTTATGAAAGAAAAGGAGGGAAAAGATTAAAGGCGTTCGTGCGGAGGGAGAGAAAATAGAGAAATGAATGGAGGCAGAAGAAAGGCAGGGAGGTCATTTCGGGATTCATCGGTTGACCGATATACTATATATTTTAAGGCTAATATATCTATATCTATATATATATATATATATATATTTATATATGTATTTATATATAGGAACAATTCCTAAACACTAAAAAAATATCAAGATAATTCAAAAAAATGAAATTCATACGAAAAATTTTGACCAGAAACATTAATCTACGATCATTATTCCGTCGTTAATTTTTCTTGTAATGCAGCATTGTAGCATGGTGGCTACATACTGTAAAGCAACTATTTTTGTTAAAAAAATTTATTGTATTATATATATATATATATATATATTTAAAGATTTAATAATTATATATGTAAATATTAGAAAATATTTTAAATATTGCATCATATATAAAATCAACATAATTTAGTTTATAATTTTTTAATTATATTAGCAAAAATTTATAAATTGATTTTGATAAGTTAATATATCAACTCATTAATTAGTTATATACATATATAGATATATATATATATATTATCATATAAGGGTTCTCTTAGGTGTTTTCTTAGTTGAGGTGGAAATTGTAAGGAGTAGATTTAGGTTTAAGCAAGCTCCAACGTTGTATTCTTGGGATCTTATCATAAGCTATGACTTAAAATAAAAAAAACAAGTTTTCAATTTTAAGGTAGAGATTAATTTTTCCGATATGGTTAATTAAAAGTGGCTTAACTATGAAAATTTTTAATTTTTAAAAATGATTGTTATGACGTATCAGTAATCGAGAATAACAAAAATTATAAATCTTTCTAAATTATTGAATTCACTAAACCTAATTCAAATTTTTTTCTAAAAAATTATATGTAATTCATTATGATAACATACGAAAGAACAATTTGATTTGAATATGTAATTTTTTAAAAAAAAAAAGTGATAAAATTATTTATTAAATTAAATAATTATTAGTTAAATGTACATCAGATTAATATGGAACAAAATATAACTTTTATATTAAATGGTTTTGACCTTAGGTTAATCGATATCATTTTTTATTTTTTATTTATGAAACATTCCTATACTTCGTCTTAATCTTCCCGTTAAGATTTCTTCGATTACGAGTTTTTTTCAAATTGTCTAATTATAAACTTATCCTTTGAGGTTTTTTTTTTAAATCCTAAGTTTTATTTCTAACAAATTGTATTTTGATTATGAGATAAATGGTTCAAACCTAAGTCATGAATTTTTACTTTTTTGATATTTCTAAAGTTGTATTATTCTTAATAAATTATATACTTTTTTATAACATATATACTTACTATTAAAGTAGCTATACGATACTTAAGAACATTAAATTATCTATCCTTTTGCTTTATTACGACACCAGTCTATATTGCGAAAGTTAAATATAACGGATTGAGTCCTAACATTCTTATTTTACTTATTAATATTTTTGTTTTAGTGAAACTGTAGTGTAAATTAAAATAATACAAAGAGTTTGAATTTACTGATTTTGGGTTTCAAAAATTGTTAATTATCTTTTTTTAGATGCCAAACTTTTACTTTTTATATAGTAACAATAACAGTAATCATCATAATTGAAAGTATAAATATTATTAGATTATATATATACCCCATATAATTATTATCACAAAATAAGTAAAAGAATAAAAAGATTAGATCAACACATAGCTAATAATCACGGGATGATTGATAAAATAAAAAGAACAAAAAGAATTCTACAACTATAACGTTGATGCATCTCGTTTTTTATAAGAAATCGTAAGTTCAAATTAAGTTATATTTTACGTGTTGCATTTTTTTTTAGAATGAGAAGAAAGATAAAAATATATAGCAAATAATTAATTTTTGCCTTACAGGTGCATCATATGTGTGTGTATTACATATTATATATATATATATAGCATGATATAACCTTGTATTTTAATGCAAATGAAGCTTCTTCTTTGTTTTAATGGATAGAATTGTTATAGAGAGATAATATAGTACTGAACGAATACCATATATACGTGTGTGTGTATATATATAGAGAGAGAGAGTTATATATATAATTAATTATAAGAATCAGAATGTGTAATTAATTTGTACACATAAATAATCAATTAATTAGCCTTTGAATTCATGAATCCATCCATCTCAATCACTTGATTCATTCAAAGCTTAAAACAAGAACAACTCGACGACGGCGGCCAGAGCAGCAACACCGAGAACGGAAACCTTAGTGGAGAAACCATCGCTAGGTGTAGGCACGGGCACCATATCACCAAATCCAACTTCAGTTTCAGGTCCAGGAGCAAAGAAATCGGACGGTGGAGCCGGAGGAGAATCAGAGACAGGACCTTCAGCCGGTGACGGACCTTCACTCACCACAGGTTCTTCGGAAGGAGATTCAGATGGAGTGGAAGATTCAGGAGCTGGACTGGTTGATGGAGAGGAGGATTTGGGAGCAGGAGCGGTCGTCGGAGAAACTTTAGGGCTTGAAGGAGTAATTTTACGAGAAGAAGAAGGAGAAGGAGCTGGTGAATCTGCCGCAAATGTACCAGCAATGAGCAATCCAATCAATGCGAGAACACAAAATTGACGAATCGCCATTGTTGCAGTAATTGATTTGATTGATTGAATTTGCGGACAGAGAAGATAAATTTTGATTCTTTAAGAATGCAGTTGTTTCTCTATATGAAATATATATAGAGAAATACTGCAAAGCTTAAGGATGAGGGAAGAATGGAGGATTGGGTGGGAGTGATTTATAGGGTTTGAATTGAGGAAGGAGATGAAGACATGAACGCAGAGAAAATCATTTCTTTGTGGTTAGCCGACGTTCTTGCCCTTTTTCTTTCATTGCTTTTAATTTTAATGGCTCTAATTTTTTATATCTCACTATTTTTTTTTTTTTTTTGTTTTGTCAAACTTCTTTTTTTTAGAAAGTTAAATAAAATTATCTTCTGGGGTGTTTTTATTTTTAAAAATTACCCTAATTTTTTACTTCTATTTGTAAAAATTTATAATTTTAAAATTAAAATACGAATAAATCGATTTAATTGTACATTAAATATGTAAATAATTAAGAATTGAACAAGAATATATTGATTTGAAATCAAAGGCTTATGTGGGTTTTTTTTTTAAAAAAAAAAAAAATTAGGCAAAAATAATAATTTAGCTATTGTACAAATAATTTTTGATCAAATTATTTTTTATTTTAATTTTTAGTCAAATCCGATCTTATATTTCTGAAATATTTTTGATTCAATCTTTCTCTTAACCCACGAATTAAAGCTATTAAGCTAAGTGTGATGTGTCAAATTTAATACCATGTGAAGTTTTTTGATTGATTTCTATGTAAGTGAATATTATGTTAAATATCACGTGACATCTAACATGACATTAAAAAAAATTACGTGACTAATTTATATTTTTTTTAGGAAAAAACAATCCATTAAAATTATAAATTCTAATGTTATAAAATTACTAAACCTTTCTTCTTATTATTCTTCTTATTCATCTTCCCATCATCTCTTAAATTGACAAAAAGTAGAGAGAACATCAAGGCCAAATCTATGACCAAACCTTATGAGTAGATCCTTTTTCTCCCCCCAACCTTCTTTTTCCTCTTTTTTCGACCTCCTTGTGCACCTTCTAACCCTATAACCGAGTCAACATTAGTCATGGGTTGCCACTAGTAACACCACATGTCCTATAACTCAAGTATCCTTCATTGTACCAGATGAACACACTCCCTATAATGATTATCCTTGTTGCTGTATAAGTTACGATTTCTAATCGAACTATTCTTGGGTTTGGTGGTCGACAGACAATTGATCTTTTGCTTCATTCCAACCACCAATAACTCATTTCTTTGTTTAATGGCTGGCACAAATTATGACTTCTCTAACAACAAAGATCTACTCTTCATATTCTCTAGTTGCAATAGTATTAGATTTCTTTTGTAAATATTTTACAAGCTAATCCACTAATAATATTGATGTGTGTTTAATAGAAAAAAAAAATTTACTTTTGAGTGAAACTCAAAGGATGAAGGGTTGAAGTGAAAATCGATTAATAATTTTTATTTGTGAATCGATATAAACTGACATAAATATAAATTTTTTTAATATTACATTATATATTATATAATATTTAACGCGACTTTCGTTTGCACAAAAACTAATAAAAAAATGTCATAAAAATTAATTAAGACATGGATTAATTTGAATAAAAATAAGTACCAAATCATTGTTTTTGTTTTTGTTTGTTTTTCAGTCAATACAAATGGTGGGCTTTAGTTGCTTGTTACCATTCGGGTCTCGCCCGTCTGACGCAAGGTGAAGGATGACCCGATGCCTGACCCGAGGCCTGACCCGAGATTCTTTGCTGGCACCCCACAGAAGCGAGGCAGTGAAGTATAGAGAGAACAGAACAAAGAATACCTGTGAAGAAAAATGGCGGAGGAAGCCGCCCCGAATAACGGCACCGGCGGCTCTTCCTCCAGCTTTGCCGGCGGTCGAACTGATGAGGAATGCCAGGACATGATCCGAAGAAGCATGCGAAGTAAATTCTTTTCCCTTTTCTTATTCAATTGTTAACGGGTCGTTTGAGGGTTTAGGGTTTTTCCGTTATTGAGATTTGGGATTGTTGTAGCTGATTATACTCATTTTCAAGCATGTCTCCTCAGAAATCTCTAGGGTTTTCGCATTATCTTTTTTCTAGAATCTCTTGGGGATCAAACAAGCAAACAGTAATTTTGTCTGCTTGTAATGTTGACTATGTTAATGAATCTGCAAAGTTTTCATTTTTCTTTCTGGGTTTAGCTCCGATGGTGAAATTTTTGAAGGAGCAAATGGAGAAAGCTGGTTGTGTAGTGGGGGAAAATTTCATCAAGGCAGTTCATTGTGATAAGCAGATTAGTGGTGGCTATGTTCGTGGCCAAGGGGTATGATGGTTTTCTCTTCTCATATTGGAACTTGAATTTCTTGATTTGGTCTGGTTTTGCAATTGGAAATTAAGCTCCTGTTTTTCTGTCCATGGCTTCTGGTTCATAATAAGTTGATTCCTTGGAGTTTTAAGTCAGTTGAATAATCTGAAAATTTCTAGATTAGCGATATGGC